TTTAAAATTTTACCTGCAGGAGTAACCTACCACTTACAACATTGCTCTCTTATGAATATGTACTCAGAACTCCAACTCCTGATCCCAGATTCTCTTAATGAAGCTCCTCTTATACAAGAGTACAGAAATAGAAGTAGATTCCCATAGTTGTGACAGCAGTAGGAATTGGGGAACCTGGACACGCTCCACTGGCAGGGAGAAGGGGACTGCCCTGGACACTGTGCATTGAGAGAACTGCCAGCCAGATATTTGAGGAAAATAGAGATACATAAGTTGTGATAAGCCCCTGTTGCCAAAATGAGTTTTCTGGCTATCTGAACTTTAGATAATTAGGAGTTTGCTGAATTATTATTTCTCTAATTCTGTATATCATATTAATTAAGGTAGATCGTAACTTGTGGCCAGAAGACTGGCATCTGCCTGCAGATGTTTTGTTACCTAAAATCTAGAGTAAGTGTTTAGAAACTTGCAGCAACTGACAGAGTACTTTTCAAAGATTGAATCTACTACTAATGGACGAGGGTTGCTTTTTTATTCATTTCGTTTTTCTAGTAATTCCTTTTATTGTTATCACATTTTAGAAAAGTACTTTAGTAGTTTGTTTAGGTTGGAGATTTTAAAAACTGGTCCTTTTGAGAAGCATGGCTGCAATGGAAAGAGCTAGACTACAGCTCATGTAGACTTGCTGTGTGACCTTTGGCAAATGATGTAATCTCTAGGTTTACATTTAATTAATTGAGACTTTCTAGCAGGCCTGACACTTAGTCTTGCAAAGCTAAGTGAGGGATGCAAAAAATGTCAAAAGTTTTATTTTATTTTCTTTCCTAGCAGGAAGGTGGGAAATTTAGTCTCAGTTATTATTGCCCACCCCACCTTCCTTGGCTCCTATCTCCATATGGGACTCAGAAAACGAGGCCACAGTACTGTCAACAGCCTCATTGCCTAACCCCACAGCAGAGGCCTGGTGCATAAGGGAGTCCTTGCTGAGTTTGGGGCTCCTGATGCCCAGCCCTCCTTGTGTTGATGACTCCATCCCTTGATGCCTTGCTCCCTTGGGGTCGTCCAGCCTGGGTCTCTTTAATCCTCTGAATTACTAGAGAAAATCTTTCCCCAGAGGCACTTTCATATCTTCAGTGAGCTCAGGTCATGGAAGACCAAGGCTAGAAAAGAAGGTATCTTCAGTGGACTTTTGATTTGGCCCCAGTACAAATTTCTGAAGCAGGGAAGCACAAAATGGCCTGCGGAAACTTTGTGGAAAGAGGAACAGGGGAGGGAAAGCTGAGGAAAAAACACAAATTAATATCAATACATTTATAATTATAAAATGGGGCCAATAAACCCTTCTTGATAGGGTTGTCTGAGGATTGTGTGAGCTAATACATTGAAAATTCATAGCCAATTGCCCAGCACACACTAGGTCCATAGGACTATGATTTCCAGATCAGGAGATCCCCGGCTCTCACTTGCTTTTGCCTGTTGGCTCTTATGTGTTGCACACACCATGTGTGTTTGGATGATTTCATCCAGCTGTGGTTTTTCTTTCCCTTATCCTTTGATGGGACAGGCTCTAAGCCAAGGGCACTTCATCTAGTGTCTGTGGAAACCAGGCTCCACTTCCACGGATAGGCTTCAGAGGGTCTCTGTTAGTCTGGAAGTTTTATACTTTATTTCTGTTATTTTACTGCTTACTCTTAAGTTTTTAACAAACAAATATTTTTTTTTTCCTAATGAAAATCTCATCAGATATATTCATCTGTCCTTCTTAGCAGATTCAAATTCGGTAACTGCGAGGTGAGGCCTAAGATTCTGCATTTCTAAAAGGCTCCTTGGTGATATCCAGTGCTGTGGGTCCAATGATCTCACTTAAATTAGCAAGGCCAAAGTAGGCTTCTGACTTTCCGGATGTGCCTTTCATTGCCTATGAGCTCCCCCAAACTTTGCCATTTTCTATTTTTCTGGGATATCTAGTCATCAGAAGCAGCCACCCTATTCTGGCATGCTTATAATTATAAATATTTCCGCTCCACAGCTATTTGATCTGTCATTCTTGACCTCTACATGCACTTCATTCTAGTTAGCCATGGATGAAAACTTACATAATTACGTAACAGGGTTATTCCCATCCTGTTTATCTCCAGTCACAGAGCCCCTATTTCTTTCACATAGGTGGGCATTCTAACCTCAAAATTCTATGTTGAAGGCCAGCTTTTTATTTTAAAATTTTTTTTTCAACGTTTTTTTATTTATTTATGGGACAGACAGAGACAGAGCATGAACGGGGGAGGGGCAGAGAGAGAGGGAGACACAGAATCGGAAACAGGCTCCAGGCCCCGAGCCATCAGCCCAGAGCCCGACGCGGGGCTCGAACTCCCGGACCGCGAGATCGTGACCTGGCTGAAGTCGGACGCTCAACCGACTGCACCACCCAGGCGCCCCATAGGCCAGCTTTTTAGAACTACTTCCAGTATCAATGATTTTTACAATAAATCATAGCCCGAGGCAAGGATTAAAATGATGGTTTATTTGGCAAACTCAGGGATGAGGAAAAAGGCAAGGGGATCAAGGAAATATGTGATGTAAAACAAAGGGAAGAGACCCAGCAGGTACATCTACCCTGCACAGGGAGGCACTTTTCTAGGGGTTGACAAAAGTGAAATAATAGTTCAGAGTCTACCCAGGAGAAGCAGGAGGGGAATTTTCTTCCCTCTTTTTCCCTTCTCCCATTTCCCATTGGTCAAAATTCCAGATCCCATACCTTATTGTTTCTTCCAAGCTGGGAGGGCAGAAACTCTGGGCATATGGTTGGTCAGTATGGCTGCATGGAGGCATCTCCAAAAAAGGCATCTCCACTTCCCAGGGCAAGTGACTGACTAATCAGCCCTGCAGTGGGATTTGGGAGGTCTTTATCGTCTGTCTTGCCTCAGTATTGAGTCAGCTAGAATAAAAGGTGGACACTAATTAATCAGTGGAGCCCTACCTCTCTCCACAAACATGGCAGATACCACTAACTGATCACTGCACTCTTCCCATCTGTTAGCTGGGTACACTTCTTCCCCATGCCTGAAGTTTCCTTGTGTGTGAGGATAGCTACATGAGTAGAACATTCCTGGCCTCACCCTACTTCCTCCCTCCCACTGCCCCAGAGATGCCTTAACCTGATTTTTGACTTTACAATGAGAAACCAAACCATTCTTGGTCCTTTTTTCTTAAGATCAGGTTCTGTTCTGCAGGGAGCACATCCCTTCTTTCTGTTCTTCCCTATCATTAGTCTTAGAGAAGTATTTCTCCCTCACCCTACATACCCTTTTTTTTCCCCTCAATTGGATGAGGGGCCAAGAGGCGAAGAAGGATGGTATTTCTTGGTCTTCTTCAAGGTCCCAGCAGCTTGGGGCCTGCCCTGGCCTCACAACACTCTAAACAGCACTCCTGGCAGCCACATTCAGTGGATTGCCATGTGGAATAAAGCCTCACTGAGACCTGCAGCCACAGTATCTCTTTGGCTAATGCTGCAACTCAGAGCCATAAAGTAAGTGGTTAGATAACATGGGCTTTAGGAGTCATCAACTTGGGTGTGAGTTCGGTCTTACTCCTTAGGAGCTGTATGACCTTGGCAAGTTACTGCATCTCGTGAGATCTCAGTTTTCTTATGTGTAAGATGAGAATAATAGTATCTATTTCATAGTTTCTAGGAACTAAATGAGATAATATGGACAGAGTTTCTAGCACTTAGAAAGTACTTAATAATGATAGTTATTGTTACCATGATCTACAGACTTTGGAAAGAGATTAAAAAGAAGTCTGGTCCTCCTTCTGGATGGGGCCCATGCCATTTTCAGTTATAGCCGGGCAAGTTCCATTGCACTGATGAAGAATTCTAACATTTCCTGCTGGGGAACCTCTGAGGTTACCTCTGATTCTTATTTTATGAATGTGGAGATGCTTTTCTTTCAAGTTTCCCTTGGCATTGGTTTCTTTTTCAGAGTTGATGCAGAGAGATGAATGGTAAGGTGTGTTCTCCTTCAGACTTGGAGAACTTCATGCCACTTCCTCTTCATTTGAAGGATGTGGTTTGCAAATCAGTGCTGAGATACCCTCTTTTTCCTCATAAACCCCCTCCTACATAAAGCCAAACTTGAGTACAGAGGCTTTGGACTCTGCGTGAGAAACCTCAGAAAAGGAAAAAAAAATTCACACTTCATTAACAAGAAGAATGGCTTTGGAAAAAAATATGTATAGTATACAGCATGTCAGTACCTTTCCAGGAAATGATGGCAAATTAGTCAAATCAAGTTGCAGATATAGTCAAGAAATTCTCACATGAGTTTCCGCTACAAGATTTTGGTGAATAAAATCAAACGACTTATACCCAATATTTCAGAAGTGCAGTGGTGCTGGCTCATCCTCAAGTCACTGTGGAATTGCCTTGGAATTGAAAGCTTCCACAGTGCAGCTTATGGCTTTGCTGCTGAATTATGAAGTGTTTGTGTCTGTGCTGTGAAGTGCTGGGATGCAGGGATAGACTCAAATTCCAGAGAAATACCACCACAATCACCATCTCAGAATACCAGCACCCTTCCTCTTTGCTCAAGAAAGGTTTTATTCCCTCGTGGTCAATGTGCTTTGTTTTTTATAGTTTCTGATGCTGTGGTATTAAAGAGAATTCCTGCTGGGGCGCCATTATATTATGATATCACATATGCAATAGGTTTTGTCCTTTCTGACTTAAAAAAAAATAAATTTAAAGGCAACACCATTGCTGCTGTTGCTAAGTGATATTGGCATAATACGTCTTTGGGGGCAATAACTCATTCCTTGTATTTTCACCAAAAAGAGAGACATTTAAGATTATTCTTTTTGGTCTGCTCCTGAAGATTATTGTCACATCATTTGTTATCTTTATGATTGGCACGTTTTTAAGCTGCGGCAAGCTGTGGTCGCCGTGTGGAGAGGCAGATTTTCCTGCATATTGCTTAAAATACTGTCTGTATTTTTCCAAGTAGGTGGCTGTACTACCATCCCAGAATCAGACTTAGAAGAAAGATCAATAGAGCAAGACTCCACTGAACTGTTTACCAACCACAAGCACCTCATTGTAGAGACGCCCTTGCCTGGTAAGAAAATGGGTGGTCTTCACCAATGATATGTCAGGGACAGTGGCACTCTGGTCAGTTCTTGTCATACCAGAGAGCATTTTGCAAAGCTGCTTGTTTTCCAACTTCATCCTTTGCCTCAGCACTGGTGCAGCTGAATTTGATCATTTGTATACTCCTTTCAATATTCAAACCTTTTCTCTCTCTCTTGCCCTCTTTCTTTTTTCCAGAAGTTTCACCCCTCCAAGGAGTCTCGGAATAGTTCAAGTAGAGTTGTCTGGTTGAGGGGAAGATGGCTTTCCCAAGGCTGATCCTGTGTGGACCTCAGGCCAAGCACAAATGTAGGGCTGGCCCGGTGCTTCATCCATCTCACCTGCTTGGAGATGATATGTAGACTGGGGATTGGGATTTTTTTCTTATTGTGCTAGGAGGATTTGTAATACCCAGGGCAAGTCAGTTGAAACCTAGGTGGGAAAAATATTGCTGCTTTTTGGTCATCTGTATGCTTGCAGCCATCGGATATAGTGAGAGTACATCTTTTGGGGACAGACTTTATAATGCAGAGGCCTAGATCCAAAGTAATTTGATACCCCATTCTTTTCACAGAATTCTTATATAGTAAATGTATCAAATTTAATAAAGCATCTCATTGTCCAACAATATCTTGGATTTGATTTATAACTAGAGGGTTATATAGATGGTTTCTCCACGTTATTTCTTCAAAGGAAAGAAACAGAAAGGAACTGAAAACTTTGCTACTCCACGCCCGGTAAGACTCAAATATGATTGTTTTATATATAAAGTAAACTACAGAATTTTTTATATGATTTATTTATTATGCTAAAAATGGAAGAAAGTAAGTTTTTAGGATTGTATGAAAATTTTCAAATATTTTATAGGAATGCAGTACATTAACATCCTCTTTTCATTACCCCATGGTGGCACCTTTTAGAAATTCAGGTTACAGGGGTGCCTGAGTGCCTCAGTTGGTTGAGAGGCCGACTTCAGCTCAGGTCATAATCTCATGATTTGTGAGTTGGAGCCCCGCGTTGGGTTCTGTGCTGTCAGCTGGGAGCCTGGAGCCTGCTTCAGGTTCTGTGTCTCCCTCTCTGCCCTTCCTCTACTTGCCCTCTGTCTCTCTCTCAAAAAAAAAAAAAAAAAAAAAAA